TGATGAGCACTCACTGGTTAAACCCAGAGGCCCTGAACCTTAAGAATATTATTTGGCTTTTTTGCTAGGATTACAGGCACTATTTCAAACAATGGCCTCAAATCAGCAAAAAATGGGCGCATTTAAAAAAGGTTGTACATCAGGTACCAGAAAAGAAAGTAGGTAAAACAAACCATTACACCCAAACAATGAGAGATTTATTGTTACCAGATTATGGGAAGTATTGTCAAGTAAGAGATAATGCTCATCTTTCATACTATCTTTTCATTTCTTATCATCTTTTCTTTTCATTCATTTCAACTTCTTTTTTCTAATTCATTTAAAGAAACTTCTTGAAGCGTTTGAAGAACTTCAGTCAGTAGATGTGATTAGAGATGTTTTGAAAATATTTTTGGACTAACTAAATCTTAGTGTGAGAAAAAAAGCTCTGTCTCACCCCCCCCCCCCCACTCCATGAGTTGCATGATTTACGCAGGAGTTCATTTCTAGAGCGAAAGTTACATTTAGAATTTAGAATCTATTAGTATAATTGAAACATAATGTTAGTTTCAATATCTAATTATCTTCCTGTTTCATTCAAACACAATGGCCTATGGAAAAATAATAACATTCACAATCTTCTACTATTCTGGCAGTACAACATAATTTGCTTCATCACACTGTCCTTTTATAGAGCTCACGTGAGCAGAGCATACTGTGCTCAACATATGACCAACTCCACAAGTTGACTTTGCTTGTTTCATAACAACAAAGTACTATAGGCCTAGAAGAGTTATTTCTTGGTTCAATACAAAGCTCATCTGTTGCAGTACTGCATAACCTCTGTTTACAGAGTATACTTGTACAACGCTACTGGTACATGCATCACAGCAGATGTACTACAGTATTACTTCTCTATCTTAAACATTTTTTAATCAATGGCTTTGCTTATGTTTTTTGTTATACTATTTATTTATTCTTCATTTTTCTTTCTCTTCAAAAGGGAGGGTTGATATAAAGTACAAAGAGTATTCCTAGATACCTTGCAGAGCTTAATCTTGCTGACTGTAGCTTTGAAGATGTCTAAATTTGGGGAGTCAACTACTTATTGTAGCTGGCTTTAAAACAAACATATTTGATTTAATAAAGTATATAATGTTTGGTCATCAGAAAAGCTTTTTTCTGTAAATTGAAATATATGAGTGAGTAGTAAAACTTCTCTTAGCTACTTAAATAAGCATTTTTTTTACCAAACTGGCAAAGTCATGGATAAGTGATGATGCTACAACTACTTTTAGGTTTTAATTGACCTAAACTACTGTAAACATATTTTGTTAATATTGTAATGAACTTTCACTCTTTTGGGTATTGTATTTTCTTGATTAAATTCAACTTCATGTAAATATTTTTTTTACACATTGACTAAATTTCATGTACTTCTGTATATTAAAAAAGCTTTTGTACTTCTTTTAATTATTTGTTATGTTCGTTGGATTTTGTTAATTGTTGTTTGTAAAATTTAATATCATTTTTGACAGAAGACACCTGAATAGTCAAGGTGCAATTAAAATGATTAACCACAACAGATATTAACCTAAAATATCACACTGTAAATGTTATAGTTGTTCTCTATTACATTGCATTATAATAATTTATTTGAATGTACACTTATCTTATTCTATTTTATTTCAGTCATTTTATGAATGGGTTTAATTGCATCATTTCCATGAATTGGCACTTTTTTTTTAGTTTGAATATAATCAAATGGGCATTGTTGCCTTTTAATAGAAATTTAAAGTAGACAAGAACATAGTCAATTATTATTGAAGTACTTGTTAGTCAGAAAAACTGACAATTTAAAATGGGTTTTGATCTTTTTCAACCTATTATCATTTACAGTATTATTTCACATCAATATCGTATTTCAAATAACCATTACTCAAACCATTTAACAACAATGGTTAACCTTGACAACAGGATTTGACTTCAGTTCAATTCAGAATAGGTTCAGAATTTGACAAGAAAAATACAACATAAGGTGTTTTAATATGGACTGTTTGATTTATTCATGCTGTATATTATGTAGAGCTTTCCATCAAATCTTAACCAAATGCCAAGGGATATAAGTAGAAATCGGTTTGCCAGTTTTTCACATCGCTTTAAACACTTTGATAATGTAATAGCAAATGGAAGTGGATTTCCACTGGGAATGGGATGGTTTAAAAAGGATTACTTTCAGTTTAGCTATGATCATGAAGCATAATACCAAGCCGCAATGTATATGTACTGTATGTATACAGTGTTTTAACTAGAAACAGAAATGCCAAATTTGGAGAGGCTACTGCCAGTATATCTTGTATCTAGTTTAATGAGCTTTTGAAACACATCTTAATGCATTTTCTAAGCCTGATGATATCAGTGACTTCAGGGAGACATTATACAATAACGGTAGCATTTCAAACATGAAAACATTTACTGAAGTTTCTATTGTGAATGCTAGAATCAAAAAGCAATCAAGGCAGTAAAATCTAAAACAAAATATGGCTTTCAATCTTTTTCTGCCAGTGCACCATTCTTATGGAGCCAGCTCCCTATATTTATTAAGAAGGCAACCTGCTGAAATATTTTCAAGGACCGCCTAAAAAAGCATCTTTTTGATACCTAATTTTTTTTTGTTCACTTTTGTGTGTAATAATAGCACTCTGAGAGATTATTATAGGGCACTATATTAAGAACCTATATATTATTATTATTATTATTATTATTATTATTATTATTATTATTACTATTATTTAAACTTACCATTATCGGGAGATGGAAGATTGAGCTCAATTCCACAGTAAATTGGGAAACTCAAGAGAAATGGCAGCAGGGAGTCTAGGGAAATTTTCCCCCATTGGACAGGCCTAGACCTCTTGTTGTCCAACAAGGTTGAACCAAAAATATTAAATTGCCTATCCAAATAACGTTAATAATTTTGATTGCCAAATTATGGCCTAAATGCACAATTTTGGGCCATACTAAGCAGTAAAAACATTTCCCAAAGAACCCTACCTAGGATTTTATACCGGTACACTGAACGAGGCTCTAGTTAATCCCTTGGTTCAGATTCAGTGTTGGACTTGTCAGTCAGAGATTTTTTCTGGAAATTTATTGAGTCAGCACTACTCAGTAACTCTGGCATACCAGGGGCCGGATTTATCAAACTAGAAATCAGCTTAAATTCGTCTTAAGTCTATTTTTTTGCTTAAGTCAAATTTATCAATATTTGTTAGCTTAAATATTGCTTAAAATTAAAAAGTCAATTGTAGGCATGAACCATCTTAGATGATTTTTAAGCCTAAAATTTTGCTAAGATGGTTTGATAAATCAGCATAAAGTATTTGCTTTGGGACATCTAAACTTTTTTGACTTAAGACATTTGCTAAGCTGAGATTGATAAATCCCGGGCCAGGGTCCTAAGATGTCGTATTATATTTGCTATTAATAACATTTTGATTTTGGGAAAGTTTTCCTTCAATTAGAGAACACTTCTGGGACTGGCTTTCCATGATCTTTAGTATCTAATTAGAATAATAAAAATAAATAAAAGACATTTGTGAATTGTGGGACCACAAGAAAGTGGTCTCTAATTAAAGGGAGAGCTGTATTTGACTTACCTATCTAACCATGAAATAAGCAGCCTTGCTGATGTGATTACATGAGTGACAAACATTAAGATGTCAGATGCAAGTCCATCTGAACAGATGCTTGGCTCCACATTATAGCTTTCCCTCTCCCTTTGTCGTTTGGCAACCACACTGTGTAAATGCTTAGCACCACAACTTAATGAGAGTGTCACTGACTGAAGTGTGTCTGTCGGTAGGTTAAAATTCTGTAAGACATAATTAGAAAAAAAAAAGTCAGAAACTAATATACAGGTAATCCTATTTTCTTACCAAATGTATCACAAACACCTTTGCTAGAAGAATGCTTTTAACTCGAGTCTTACCCCTGATCCTACAAAGCTCTTCCCTTGGGCACATAGAATTCTTCTATGCATCCCCTGGACCCCCGGCTTTGAGGAAACCTCTCAATATATCCTATTATAATGGACCTGTGTACATAAACCAAACTACGTGTGCATGAGCTATGCTTATGTTGTTAGGATTCAATTTCTTCATCTAACCTCTCTCTCTCACTTCGAAAGAGTGATCAGATCGTAACCAAGTCCATGTGAATGGGGTTTCCTATAGGCCAAGTTTAACTCAGAAGTGTTTCTCTTTAATAGAAAAATGTTATGTTAAAATACCACTACAGTAGTAAACTTTGGCCGAAACCCGAAACCCCATTCCCCCTGGTTATGGGCCTGGTATTACATAAGCTGAAGCACACTGTACTGCTGCAGTCTTCTTCATCCGATTGTCTCAACTTCGAAGTGGAGTTGTCTCTTCATGCACAAACCGAGAGAGATGCTGTCACAAAATGAGTTGTTTTGTACCCAGATCAGTTTTTTTGTCCTTGTTTAGCCAGAAGAAAATAGACATTTCATAAAAATATAAAAGTTTTTATCTTTTTTTATTACGCCCACCGCTGCCTTGAAATCTCCAAATGTATATTTCTTCCTAATTATATAAATTTAATGCATTTAAACATCTGTTTACATTCACCAATAACATTTTATTGACAAAAATGCAGTTGCATAATTTCTGTCAGTTTAATATTTCATAACAGAAATGTTCTGATTTGATTTACATGACCTTATGAATGTTTTGAAGACAATTTTTATGGCTGTTTTCCAGAATTGATAAGAAAATCAACACAAAATTTATCTGTTGTTTATCTTTAGAGGCGATTTTCTCCAAAATATGTTTTCAGACATCTGTTACCACTTCTACTCAACTTAAGAAACTTACAGTTAGAAAACTAAAATAAAGATTACAATATGATTTATATTGATAACTTTTTTTTCTTGTTTGGCACAAGACTCATTTTGTCATGACACCTTACTTTTAGCGCCACTAAAATCTAATACTGGACACTTGAATATTCAAAAGAAAATATATGGAATTGTTCACTTCTTTCAATAGTCTTTAGCTTTCAATTGGTCGGCCGGGAGCCTCCTAAAAATTGCGACGGGGATTGCACAGCAGTACAACGACTGCACAGAAAACACTGTAGCGACAGTGTAGCGATTGTATGGAAACAAAGCTTCATAGTGTTAACCCTTAAAATTCTGAATTCTGTTCTATTATTTTTGAGGGGTGTTTCTCGTGGGAGAAAGAATAGGCAATTAGTCGGTTTATCCAGGTAAGTATTCACGAAGTAGACTCTGACAGCAAATTGAAGGATTAATGTAGCTACATATTTGTAAATCATCTATAAATCATTGAAAATTGATTTCTTTAAAAAAAAATATGTTTATTTTATTAAAAGTTCATTCTTTAAATATTTTCTTCTCAATATTTTGGGTGGTAGAAATGGGCAGCAGACCAAACATTTCACATAAATTATAGCATACTGTACCTGACACCAGGACTCAAAAGTTAATAATAAAAAGTTACAATTACAGTACATAAAACATAGGGCAAGACTTTTTTTCCACCTTATTTAGCAAACCCGCTGCCTGCTAATAATGATGATTTCCAATTAAAATAAACTTTTATTTTTGGCCAATTGTTGTACCCAGTGCAACAAAAAATTGATATTTTAGAAAAGTTTTTTTTAAATTTTTATTACTCCCACTGCTGCCTTGAAATCTTCAAAAATAGATATAGTTCCTTCTTATTAAGCATTAAACTATCCTAATACAGTATTATTATTATTATTAATTATTATTATTAGTAGTAGTAGTAGTTTACACTGACCAATAAAAGTTTCAGTTCTCTACCATCTGGATGTTTTTGGCAAAACCGTTTGCTAATTAGTAAGAAAAATATATTCAATTTCTGTTTTTTTCGCCCTCCTCTGACAACATTAATCACCTAATGCAAAAACCTATGCTTACGGAATAAATGAAATGAGACAAACATTAAAATAAAGTGTTTTGTCCAAGCCACTCTAAAATCACCATACCATTCATAGTCTAACATAAGATCACTACTGGATACTACCTCATGCATCTTTTGGGTCTCATGTAGCCCTGATTGAGGATATTCAATGTAAAATGTCAGGCAAAACAAAGGGCTTACCAGGTCATGAAGAAGGCCGATTGCTTCCAGAAGAAGTTCCTGATGACCAATCTTGTTAATCTGGAGATCTTCCAGATCCTCAGCTTGCAACGACAACAGTTTTTTGCCGCCAACATGGTTGTCTTCAAACGTACCACGATAGCACTGCAAATCGTCATCCAACCCTAAAGTTCAATATCAATATCTTTTAGAGTAAATGTCAAATGCAAAGTTTGTGTCTTGTTGAAAATCAGAAAGAGAATTTGAATTTTGAGTTAGGCCCTGAAGACCAGCATCAGCTGCAGTATGCACATACTGTACAGTAAAATGATCAGCATACCGGGGAAAATCTCATTTTCAAATTGCACCTTGAGTTCTTTTCCATGCGCATTATGCACACTGAATGGCCAAAAATGAGAGACAAGATAATTAGAGTAAATGTACCGAAGACAGGTTCCCACCAACTTGTTATGAAGGTGCTGGTCGGTAATCGTGAGTGGAGAAGGGAAATATAATTTTAAAAACTTGTATTTTATGCCTACATTGTTAACACAAGTCTTATTTTATTGTTCAACGGCTTTTTTTGGCTTCAATCAGTATCGTCTGCTTCGTTGTTTACAAAGCTTTTGAGAAATACTGTACAGGTAAACCCTACACCATGCTTAGGCACCCGGCAAGTACAGTATTGCTAAAGTACTATTTCATATCCCATCTAATGCCTTTCAAAATGAAAATCTTTTATACTAAAAAAAAAATAAAATAAATTGCATCAGAGAAGCATAGATAGTACATTGTTACACTGTATAGTCATCGGTGGACCTTGAATTATAACATGATTGGGGAGTAAACGCAGACGATAAGTAAATGATGCTGATCAGCCATTAAGCAAATATTTTATTAATAAACAGAACTCTGTACATGTTTTGATAACCAATGAACAACAGAATGTAAGATAAATATACTTTTGTGCATGCAAAATAAAATTCACATTAAATTAATCAATAGTTCAGTATCCATTTTGAATACTATGACTATCCATCCATTAAAACACTCTTAATATATGAAAAACAGAATTGAATATGCATTTCAAACCAATAGTGTATTTTAACAATGAGACAGCCGTTTTTAACATCTAAGTGGTTTTTAATAGTTTTATTTAATGAAGGATACCCTGATTAGATAAGAACTGCTTGCAAGCAAGAAAAATGGCCCATCTATCTTCTGTAAATTCATATTTGCATGTTACAGTACAACAACTTTACTTATAAATTGTCTCAGTGCTGATAGATATCACCATGCACTGCGAAATCAGATGTTAAGAAAGCTCACTTTCTTCTGGCATTGACTTCTTCCAACTTGGTACCCCCGACACCAATACATTTGTGTACCACCCTAGTCAGGCCTGGGAAAAAATGTTTGTGCCTCTGACCATTGTAAGTTGTCTTAATAAAATACTGTATCTCCACCACCAAATATCATCTACATTATATAGGCTAACCTTAGTAACAGACTTTCATTTTTTTGAATTTTTTTCCCCGTTAGTATGCTCACACACTTTTTCCAGCCCTGACTGTAGTGTACACTTGTGTCTAGGGTGCCGAAAAATGTATAATACTCAAATTTTAACCTTCTCCGCTCCCTGGGAAAGCACATAAAACTAAAACAAAAAAGTCTAAATATAATAAATACTGTAATTATACAAATAACAAATAAAATTGCCACAGGAAACATAATAATAATAATAATAATAATAATACCCAAATTTATAAGATGCCAATTTCAAAGTAAATGATTAAATTAGTACAATGTAGAAAGTACAGTATTATACAGGAAAGTGATAAATTTAATTTGTAAAAATCGAGGATTTCTTTGTATAATTGCACTCGCATAAAACTTCAATTTTAAATAGATATTTCTATCCTGAAAGTGGCAAGTTATATTAATGATTTGTTTACATTTTCAACTTCTCTCAGCTCACATTCTGTCACTATGTTCAAATATTATCAATTCATCTCAGATGTTACCCTAGCAACACACTGTAGACACATAGCACTCTACCTTTGAACCTCGCTGAATTCTCTTATTGATTATTAGAGTTAATTTTTAAATTGAATTATATTTATATAGAGGAAGTGTAAGTAGAGCACATAATTGCTTCAGCTTGGCAAAAATAATTATGGTAATGCCTTTAGTGATTACTAATTTGTTCTCCTGAAGCTGTTTTAGCCGTCAATTTTACTGGTAAAATTAGATGTCCAACCAGTGAAAGTCTGTGTTTTGGAAAATATATTGCTGAATCAATTTTTCTCAATAATTTAACACCATTTTTGGCCTAGGCTAAGATTGTAAGTGTTGATCTTTTTAATCCAGTAAACCCCAACTATAAAAAGGGCTAACATATACAGTACTGTAGCACTGTACACACACATCTGACTTTTATATTAGTTTTACCAGTGAACATTTTTCAATGGAGAGAACAATGCTGCAGTACTACTGTACTGTAGTAGTGCATACACGCAATTTGAAAATTAATTATAACTTTTATGAAAACCAAAATGAAATTTTATTTTTTATTTATTTGGATATACACTTTCAGATCGGTGGCACACATTTACAATGAACAGTGCATCCTTATAATCAACAATATAACAAAGGAACAGAAAAAAAAAGCAATTGAACATAATGCTCTGTAGTCTACCTACAGACTAAACAAACTAAAACAAAAAAGCACATCCAGTTATACAATTTGGCACCTAGTCTACAAAATGTTATTTTACATTTACAAAAGGTTATTTACAAAATGTTAGTTTATATAAAGAACGGCATTTCTATATTTTCCTTTTGTAGGATTGTCGTGGTGATCTTTTTAATCTATTAAACTCCACCTATAAAAAGGGCTAACGCATACATACGCACATACAGTATCTAACTTTATGTAAAGTTTTACCAGTAAAAACTTTTCAGTTGAGAGGAAAATGCTACTATACACGTAATTTCAAGGTTAACCAAAGTTAAATTTGTACAGTATCTCACTACTTTTCATTTAGACATGGCCACGACATTGTACAGTATGCATTGACCAGGCCAAGGTACTCAAATTACTTAATAGGATGTTTTCATATCTGAAGGACTTTCTGGGTGTTTTGCATAGTCAATGCGAAAAGTAACATTTGTTCCAAAGGAGTTGGCCTTTTTCAAAATATTCAACACCAAACAAAAACATGGATGGAGATAAAAAAAAAAACATGTTTATTTATTTGGCCTAAGACAAGATAATACCTTGTTTCACTAAATAATGATTGAACCAAAAGTAATATTTTAGTTTTAATTTCATAAAATAATGAAAAGTTTAATTTAAAAAACAATTTAATTATGCCTGCTGCTGCTCCGAAAATTGAAATACACTGGACCTGTGAGAATTCATAAGATGTTTACTGTATAAAATGTTTAGACCTATTGGACTGATAAAATCCATTATTATTGGTATTGCTTTAATTCATTATGCATTCAACTGAAAGTTAACTGATGCGAGAAAATTTTTTCCCTGCGAATTAACACCATGCATTGACACTGTTCAATCGGTGGTTGATCTCATTTGATCCTTTTAAATGAGCAATTTACATTTTACTGAACTTTTTCAGACTTATCAAATTTCCCATAGATAGATATATCATTGGGCAAGACTTTGTTTTACCTTGTTTTATACTGTATAGCGTAATTATTTTTTCGTCAGAAGAGGGCGGAAAAAAATAAAATAAATTTTGTTTTCTTATTTAGCAAATGGTTTTGCCAAAAACATCCAGACAGAGAAGAAAATAAAAATAAAATTTTATTGGTAAATGTGAACAGTAGTAATTGGATGTACATAAATGCTTTAAGTTTATATAATTGGGAAGAAATATGTATTTTTGGAGATCTCAAAGCAGCGGTGGGCTGAAAAACTTTTATTTTGTCCTGAAATTTCCATTTTTCGTGGTGGCTGGTGTGCTAATTGGCCAAAAATAGAATTTTATTTTTATTGGAAATCATCATTATAGACAGGCAGCCATTGCAATTAAGCCCATGTACCAATTATGCTACAGGAATATTAAGACTAATCTTTCCGAATTGCTAAATAAGTCTGTATAATACTGTAACACTGGGCTACTACCGTAGTACTTTTTATTCAATTGTCTGAATTTGTGGGAGTTGTTTCTTTGTATACAGGAAACACTAGGCATGATTATACACTGATGACAAATATCTGAAGACCTTCTACAGTACAGATTATTGTTGTTAGCAGGTTTATATGAAAGTATACTTTGTAAAATCAACTCTATTATATTAGTGTTAACATGGCTTGGTGCTAAGATTTTTGCCTGCTCATCATGGTCAACACCCGCATAACAAGCAGTTACCGGTACGCAACTCTAGATTCAAGAAATGTGTCTGTGTAATATACTGTAGTAAAATATAAACAGAAAATTGAATTACTCAGCGAGATTTCACAGTTAGAAAAGAAATTTACATTACAGAATCCTTTAAAATACTCAAAGGAGTTTTCATGAGTACAGTATATCCTAGGTAATAATAACAAAATATATACTCAAATAAAGCTAGACATAACAAACTAATTTTAAAATTACATTAATTACATTAACAAAGAAATAATTATGATTTAAAACACAAATATAATTAATTTAAATTACATTAATTATTAAAATTGAACAAATAATTATGATTTATATATTTTAAAATTAATTATTGCTTATTAATAATATTATAATATTTTTTTCAAAATATATTTCAATAATTGACTTAGTATTGCTTGTCATGTTTTGTATAACTAGGCATACTGTAAATTTCCTAGAACAATATTCTTTTCTAAAAAAGACAATTTTATTGTTCACCTTGAAAATAAAGCAGATAGAAAATAATAATAATTCTGTACTTCTATAGTGCATTCCGCAAAAATCCTTAATGCGCTTTACAAAAAAAACCAAAAAAACAGAACAAGCAGTAAATAATTTTGACTTACTGTAAACTACGGTATTAAAACAGCTTTCCGAAAAAGCATTTGCACTATTGGTATAAGTATCCAGAACAGGACTCCACCCACCAATGTCGAAAACACAGTATACTGGGAAACCAGTCATCATCACACTATTTGCTAGCAATTTACAGTCCTATCCAGGCTATCAAATTTCATTTAACAAAAACATGTGACAATGACATACCTAAATATGGTCATGATGACATCACATCATGACCATATATAGGCATATAATGACTATATATGGGCATACAACAGTTTTTTTTTCAAACAACATTTGATAGTCTTGACAGAGCTTACAGTAAGCATAAGGCACATACTGTTGGTAAACCTGCACCATAATTCACAGGTAGGTAGTACTGTAGGTTTCTCTTATTTATTATCATCAACATTTATGTCCAAGGCCTACTCTACCAGTACTTCATACAGTAAATTATCTAGTCCCACAACCCACACACTTAAAGTGAGACTTGTGCAATTTACAGGTCTTAGACTAGCACATTAGCAAATAATTTAATTTCCACTATGATGTTTTACATTTCCTGGATCATTTCTAGAGTTAATCTATGCTTATAACTACATTATTAGTACATTATTTTGACATTGTCATATCTGTAGTCCACATACCCATAAGTGGTACTGTAGGCAATGCATTTTTGAGAATACAGTAGAGAAAAATATCTCCTAGAGGATAATTTTCTGAATACAGTACACATCTGTACTAATGTCTGAATTATGAATGTTATTTTTAATCAGTACACATTCCTGATGACAACAGATTTTGATTTAATGATAAAGAAAATGTTTTTATAAAAAAAAAAAAAAGCATACAGTTATTCTTCATTTGTATTAACTAAAAAAAGACCACTATTCAGTTTTATTATTTAGTTTTGATGGTTAAAATTATTAAGCCAGCACATTCTGTATTCGACAAAAAATGTATCTGCGAATCATGTAAATGATTGCCTAATGCAATGCTACTGTATTCCACTGAAAACTGATAGATAATTAAGCTATGGAAATTCACACTACACATCCTTATCCATGCAGGATTTTAAAAATTGTACTGATGGGTTTTGACTTCATGGGTGACCACGTTTAACACTACCATCACCCCAGGAAACACTGGTCATGAAAAATTCAGGTAAAATAATACTAGCATTTCATCTCTTGTTTACTCCATATCAGATTCATCATTAAAAATTGCCTAAAAATGGTTATTATTTAATACATAATTATACCACCATTGCACACTCTATGGTAGTTCCATTGGGAACTTTAATAATGGTTCTCAATGATGTTCTCACTTGAGAGAGAATACTATAGGTTATTAGTCGGTTTATCCAGGTAAAAATATTCACAAAATAGATGTCTCGTTTTAATTTTTCAAATTATATTTATTCTAAAACCTTAAAATCCCGACCCCATCCCCGAGATACCAGGATCGTAACCAGCAGGGGATATTTTTTTATTGTTAATTTATCAATTTGATTTGTATCTCATGTTCATAGTCTCAAAAGCAACAAAATATTAAGTATTAACATCACTGTCAGCATGAAATGACAATACAATGTCAACACAGTCAATATCTCAAAAACTTTCGTGTAGTATGTACTTTTCCTTGTTTGGTATATCATGACACCGATCTCTAGCTACTACAAGCACACACACACCTTGGCTGAAATCCAGATTGATGGATCCTGTGATCCCGTCAATTGTCGATATAAAAAGAAGTAAAAGTATTACTAAATAGGTAGTTTGCACTTGACAATTATTTCCTAACTTCCGGGTTTCTATTGTTCAAGCAGGGAGGGTTTCTTCAGTCCTGGATGACCGTGCAAGACAACTTTAAAACAATTCACCGAACTGTGAAGGCACAATGGGATAGGCCTACACAAACAACTGGTGAAAGAAAATAAACAATGTAAAAATACCTTTCATCCATTCCTGAACATCTTGAACAGTCCAATGTGGTATATTCACAATTTGAATCCATGCCATTGCGTACAAGGATCATAACGATAACTTTAACTATGAAATATAAACACTTCTCATCGTCCACGCCTGGGTGTCCCTTCCGATCGATTGAATTTACGACGTACACACAGAATTTTGAACTTTGACCAGCATTTCCTTTCGTCATTGACGAGTCCATTTTCGAATGAGGAAAGGATGATATTATTTTATCTTCAATATAAAGATATATGTCAAACTAGATATTTGATAATATAGGATATATACAAAAAATGTTTGTTTATATATGAAAACATACTATTATGACATATGGCTGTAATATTTCATTACATTTATGTGTGTTTAAGAAAGTATCACCCTACACCATAATAATCCGTCATGTGTGTTGTGTACTTTCCTAAGAAAAAGTGAAAGGGTGAGCCTAGGCCTAGCACTGAACAATAAAAAACGATGTCAAGACAAGGAGGCAGAACAACAGATTCTAAAAAAGTGGTATGTAAGGAATAACCTTACTTCTATGCATATTTTACTGTTTCCTAATAGTACCATTTTGTAACAAATAAATCACTATATCCAAACTGGCCTAGCCTAGGCCCTAAGCTACTTACTTAGCTAGACTATGCAAAATGGCAAGGCAAAGCCTCTGCAGCCAGCGTGCAGTGAGTGAGGTGGCGCTGACACTCTGTACTGTAATAAGACTACCTAATCAAGTCTAAGCCTAGCCAAGTAGTATACAGACAATACATCAATCACCCCTATGTCAAAACAGTGTCATGATTGCATACCAGGGCAGAGCCCAGGAAATTATGCAAGTAGGCCTAGGCTAAGTAAGTATAATAAATAAAATAATATAATACTATAGATAGAAGTGGTTATTTTCGACAATTCGCACGGTACCGTGCGAATAAGCTCTTATGAGTCATATTCACACGGTAGACCTAGCCAATCAGCATTTAAGGTTTCACAACGTAACTTCTGTCATACCGTGCGAATAAGTTCTTATTCCTAATTCACACGGTAGACCGTGCGAATAAGCTCTTATGAGTCTTATTCGCACGGTAGACCTAGCCAATCAGTATTTAAGGTTTCATGACGTAACGGCTGTCATACCGTGCGAATAAGTTCTTATTCCCAATTCGCATGGTACATTGTGAATTAACTATATTTAACACGGTATCGTCTCAAAAGGTTCAATGACCTAAATATTTTACGAGATACTTACTTAATTTGTTACGAGAATACCTAATCGAACCGAAATGCCTTTTCAGATAGGCCTAGAACCTATCATACAAACATTGTCTACCGTGCAAATTGTAAATAATACATTATTCGCACGGTAGACGTAGCTACTCGTAGAATGTAATGACACTGTCTTAAAAAAAAAGCGCCAATAAAAGCTTTCTTCTTTTTTTGGCTTCTGGTTGTTCACAATCACAAAAGCAGCCATGAAAGCCTGATGTCAATCGAGGTCGGTCAGGCATTTAGTGACTACAATTCATTTGTTGATTTCTTTAAAGAAATTTCAAGACGAAAATAACCTTGTTGTAGAGTACTGTACATACAACAATCTTTTGACAATTATCTCAGCTCGCTATGTGCTTTGTGTATATTATTAGGCCTACAATCAATGTATCCAGTAGCATTTCGAAAACACTCCCACACATTGGAAATGTCCCAAAAGGCAGTGAAGAATGTACTTCAATATAAATATTATTTTCCTGTACAGTGTTTAGTACATATATTCGGTGGCAGATCCAGGATTTATTATGGTAGAGAGGGATTAGGAGAGACTTTTAGAGATGTGTGAGTCTGCTGGTGGGCTAAGTGCAGCACGACTGCAGTCCTCAAAATTAAAACCCTATTAAAACTGCACATAAAATTGAGTAATTTTGCATCAGTTTGGCATCCTCTCATCCTCCTCTGTTCCAACTCCCATCATGGAATATTTTTAAATGGAACAAAAATCAATATCACTACTAGGCCCTATGATTAGGGGACTATACCACCAGTACATACAGTACTCCACAAAGGCTTTTTTCATGGCAATTTCTCAAGGATAGCCTAAGAAAAGAGTAAAAGGTCTGCAGACACAATGCTAAGCTAGGACCTATTGCAGTCCAGTTAGGGTTATCGAATCCAGTGTCTGTGCTGTGCCCAACTCCTACGGTATGCCGTGAAATAATTATACAGCATTTCTATCTACAACATTCTACCGCCTGAATAAGAGTTTTTTCGACAATTCGCACTGTACCGTGCGAATAAGCTCTTATGAGTCTTATTCGCACAGTACCGTGCGAATAAGCTCTTATGAGTCTTATTCGCACGGTAGACCTAGCCAATCAGCATTTAAGGTTTCATGACGTAACAGCTGTCATACCGTGCGAATAAGTTCTTATTCCTATTTCGCACAGTACCGTGCGAATAACCTCTTCCTAATTATATATATATATTTTTTTTATTTCATCAGAGCCAAGAGCTGTTTACTTTGACGTATGGATCTTTGGTGGCACAGCTTGTCAAAGACTATGAAAGTGATGAGGAAGTAAACAAACAACTTGATAAAATGTATGTTATTTGACTGACAGAATTATCATACTACATTCTCACTTGAAAATATACAGTAGTATGGTAGTCAGAGGCGGGTTAAGAATGCTTTTTTGAAGGTGCGAAGTAGCAATTGAGAGCCTATGGTCTGGGTGGGGAGGTTTGGGGATGTTCCCTTGCCTATTTGGTGGGCCTAGGGTGTTTAGCCAATGTAGAAAACTAAAACCTTAAAAATATGCATGGCATTAGGTGACAGATGCTTTGAAATAGGTTTACATCTTCCAGTAATTACTTTTTGATGTATTATAAGGACTTAAAATGGAGGCCCAGTGTATAACTCTGGCTCTTATGCACATTAAAGAACCCATTGCATCTTTCGGAAGAGTAGAGGGTTACCCCGATATTATGGTTCATTTCAGCCCCCCCCTGACGTTGTGGAATGATGTGAACATGTACAGTAGCTACTATAAGTGCCCCTTTATGGCTGCTAGATCCAAGAAGACTTGGTTCTACCAACCAAACCCTAGGCGAGGAGCAGCTGGAACCAGCGCCGATGTTAAGGCTGTAGTTAGTGGCGCCTTGGCCTTACCGCTCAGCCACTTTACTCGCTTGATGAGTAGGAATGAGTAACCAGTACTGCCTACTACCTTCAACCACAATTATTTTTGTTCTTATCTTTATATAGGGGATACAATATTGGAGTGCGGTTAGTGGAGGATTTTCTTGCCAGATCTAACATTGGTAGGTGTCATGACTTTAGAGAAACAGCTGATGTAATTGCTAAGGTAAGTCATAATCTAATAGCTTACTAATATTTCAAAATACAAGAGCTATGGAATTTCATTTTCCGATGAACAATAAAAATGTGCAGTCATCAAAATGAATTCCATCAAAATTTGTGTAAAAGATACATAGCTACTGTAGAAACAACAATTTGAAAGTACAAGATCATGTGAAAAAGGACATTAAAATTAGCAACTAACTTATGTGATATGCAGCCTTTACAATTAATTTAAAATTTAACATGCAGCACACATTATTTTCATTAAGCAAAGAACAAATATTATAAATTGCACCAAAGCATAAAATAAACCCTGTTTAATAACATTTTATTAAGATTATGAATAGATCTACTTACAGACAAATATCTAAATCAGCTTTTTCCTTATATTAAAATGGCCATGGAAAATTTATTCTTTTATGTGCTTTTATTATCTGTTTAGACTCATTAAAGAAAACAAAGTTGGCAGTATTTTTTTAAGGAATATTTTATATTTTGCTTTCATTAATTATAACCATTTTCTACTAATTTTATATTTAAAGTCTTATATCTTGTATAAATGTTGATGTTTTAATATATCTTTAAATTTATTACTTATAATAATAATAATAATAATAATAATAATAATAATAATAATAATAATAATACAATAATTAATAATACAGTAATAATGATGCAATGATAAAAAAAATTAATTTTTCAAATTGTTTCAAATTTTAATGTTGCTTGTGTTTGATTGATGTTTTAATATACATTTTTTGTAAATATGTAATTCAGCCTTGTCTGTGATTTTGAACTGAAAGAAAAAGAAATATGATATTTTGTTTATTTAGTACGATAATGTAATGCTATTTGTAGTATTATTGTAGTTACCGGGAATGTGTTTAATTTCTTTATTATTAATATTTTGTTTATTTAGTACGATAATGTAATTTTGTTTATTTAGTACGATAATGCCTTATTATGAAATTGTTGGTATTTTCTATACTTTTTTTTTTTCAGAATGGTTTTAAAATGTTCCTTGGTATAACTCCAACTGTGGCTAATTGGAGTGCAGGTGGAGATGAGTTCTCTTTGATATTGGACAACAATCCTCTTACTGATTTTGTAGAGCTTCCAGAGGAACACAATAATCTGAATTACTCAAATTTATTATGCGGTGTCATTAGAGGTGCTTGTGAAATGGTAAGAAGCTAAATGTATAGATAGGGAGCTTTCGATTTGTGCGGCGACGCGACGTTAGGACGGAATCACTCATGCGTGACTGCCCTACCTGGCGTTCTACGTTCTCTGCATGCATAGATTTGGCCAAATTGCGTTCCGGAATCTACTCGACGAGGTGACAATCATGCACCATTTTATTACAATATTTTTGTTGTTGCTTGCCACGGCTGCACAACCTAAATCAACCTTAAGATAAAAGAAAAATAACTTTATTCCTCCAGTATCGAAGTTCACTGTTCGTATTACAATTTTCAAATGTTAAAATATACAAAATTCAAAGAAGTTAAAAATAATACATGAACAATTCAACATCAGCATCCCGGAATCATAATGAACAACAATTGCACAAAAAGAAATTGTAAATATCAAAAACATCAAAAGTCTGCTAACTAAATACTAAAACAGGACACTTACTGCGTCGTAAAGCGACCCCAAACTCTGCTCCCTGTGAGCGATAGGTGACGCGACTCCGTCTGCTGATTGTCAGTGGTGGTCTGAACAGATCGTTATTAAAAACGATCCGTTGCACATGTGTCGTGTCATTGCGTTCTACATAGAATCGCGTTAACCGCGACCATCGGGCGCAGTGCATGCCCGGCTTTAAAGAACATGTTTACCACTGGTGATCTCAGGAATTTTCAAAAGAGAAACTTTACACAGAGACAAAAATCAAGGAGAGATGTATGCAAGCTGTGTCGCTACACAGAGAAGCGACACTAAAAACAATGGTTTATTTATTTGGCGCCTTATATAATTAACAGATACATTTTAAGGCATAGATTTATATTCATTCAAACCTCAAAACACCAACTAAATCATTGAATATATACAGGGCCAAATAAAGTTTGTTGAGTTACTTGTTACTTTATAATATTGTAATGCATCATTTCAGCATATTTTTATGGAATTGTGCAATATAAGTAAATAAATTATTAAATTAAAATTATTATTTGTCGAGTAACCTGTTACTTATCACTTGTTGGTTAAATAGCTGCTTTTCTTTGCAGTCTAAAAGCTCATCTCTGCAACACCAAGGGATATCATTGGTCCAATAAGTGCTATTTTAGCTTTTCGCTACAGCTAAGTTGGTTAGAGGATCCCTGCTGTGTGTTATAGACCAAAATTTGATTTTTTTTTTTCTCTTATTTCGTATTATATCATCTTTGTTGATGGGGACAGGGCTATGTTCTAAATATAATACAAATTGTTGAGAATTATTTTTGATGGGGACAAGGCTACATTCTAAATACAGGTCTCCCTCTAATTGAAGACCCTCAAGTTATTAAAGACCACCTCCAATTAAAGACCACTTTTCTGTGGTCTCAAATTAACAAATGTCTTTTTATCTTTATTATTTTAATTAGAAACCAAAGCTGCTAAAGACCATCAAAATCCTGGTCCCAAAAGTGGTCTTTAATTGGAGGGAGACCTGTATAGTACAAAATTTTGAGAATTATTTTTTAACTGTGAAATTTAAACTTCCTAATTTTCTAGGTTCAAATGGAAGTGAATGTAAGATTTGTTCAAGATGTACTTAAAGGTGATAATCAGACAGAAGTTAGAGTTAAATTTATCAAAAGACTGGAGGATGCATTACCAGCAGGGGAGGAGTGAAACCTGAATGAACCGCTGGAAACTAAACTACAAATAATTTGCATTTTATTCATGAGCATAATGGCAGCAGATATAACATTTATGTGATTTGTTGATAAAACTGTGGAGATTTTAAAGTGACAGTTCCTTATGTTCATGCAAAATTTAGTTAAGCCTGTTGGGAAACAGGAAACATCCTGTATTGTCCTGTCTTTTATTGGCTGTAATGGAGCGCTTCGTCCCATTTTTTTTTGTAAGATATACCTGATGATCATCAGAATGTATTGAATTGTGTGACTGGAACACATGACCACAAAGGACTAACACATGTGTTGAACTTAATATGAGACAATGAGACTTATGTTTGGCGTTGCATGTAATGAACCTTTCCACGGTGTCAATCAAACCTAACAATTGACCAATCAGAACAGGGGCCAGGAATATGCACATGTCCCACAAACAGACGTGTTATCCCACAAACTCACATGCAATTCTTTTATCCACAAAAATCATAAAATACAAGATAATATCAATAAAATAAACACGAGCTTCAAGCTCCTCAAGTTTGGTTTAACAGTAAGCGCTATACAAATTGCAAATTATTATAATTATTATTGCATACAGTATATCTTTACACTTGTTTTGTGGGACCTTAGCAACAATATCCAAGGGGCGGGGCTTAGCGGAAAGCCTAGGTCCATTGAATATCCAAGGGGCGGGGCTTAGCCGAAAGCCTAGGTCCATTGAATATCCAAGGGGCGGGGCTTAGCCGAAAGCCTAGGTCCATTGAATATCCACAATGTCAAACCTATTGGAAACATATAACATCAAGCCTATTGTTGGTTACAGTTTGCTAATCACTGGGAAACAAGCTGAAGCTTCCTCCACAGTGCAATCCATGTACATCATGCATCATTCATGGTTTGTTGTGATCAACAACGGATGACTGGACTGGATTGGTCAGAATATTATTTATCGCATGAAGTTTTTGGAAGTAGAATATAATTCTATGTTGCATATCTACATTGTGGATCATATGGAAAATAATTGGTTCCAACCGCTTTGTTACTGTCGTGTCCCAATGCTGCACTCCGCACTCTTGATAAATAGGCATTTGTTACACTGCCAATTAGTGGTGTATCTACAGTAGGAGACTTGAAATGTGGGTGTTGATGGGTGGGGGGATTGAAGATTAGTCAAGGGGGAGCTAGTTCACAAAATTTGGTGATTTGAGGTGATTTTTAACTACTTGAAGGGCGTCATTATTTTGGAGGGGGTCTCCGCACCCCACTAGATACACCACTGCTGCAAACTTATGTTACATTCAAGTGGTTATGTTGGTGTGACTCAGGAAATTATTCAATTTGCACTGGGCTAAAAATATACAGGATGATTTTGTGCTGCACCCATGAACACCAGTTTTTGATATGTAAATATAATTTTTGGGAAGGAATTTTTATGAATTTGCTATCAAATTCAAAGTGGTAGGTTGCAAAAAACGTTCATTAGAGAAAAGAAATTATTTACATTGAAAAAGCAACCAAAAAAAAATTAAAAACACTAAATATAGAGTAATACTAAAAACTATTATTTATAATGAAATTTATCTAGTGAGGATTTTAATGTAAAATATACCCTTTTTACAGCTAGGATTTTCAGACTTATCATTTAACCCTGAAATGCACAGGATTTTAGAGATGAAAAAATGTATACTCTGCCTTCTGAGAGCTTTATTAATCAATTAAATACAATGGGGGGTTCAGTGGCAGTACCAACAAGGAGTCAAGGGTGTTCTTTTGAATTTCCCCTGTCAGGCAAGCTTGGACGAGGTTGTCGGACTAAAATATTATTTTGCCGAACCAAAACAAAGTTATTGTGACTGCAGTCTAACACAGCAGTCTGAAATCTAAAATAATAATAATATGATTTATATATCACCTTTCCAAAATGATCAAGGCACTTCACAATGACTAAAACCACTTAATATCTAAAAAATAAAACAAATATAGAATCATTAAATGCTACAACAGCACCATTTTGAGCATCCTAAGACAATAAATCTAACCCTCATAACCCTCACAAGTGATTTTAATCTGCGACAGCGGCTGATTGGTTTAAATCCCCGGTCGGCAAATTTCAGTAGCAACCACTGCAGGCATTATGAGGGATGGGTTGAGCACAGCGCATGGACTTTTAATAGAGTTGCAGTTTGCCTACTTGTTTATGCCCTTAATGTTGTTATTCACAGACTTCTGAAATAAAACCCTAAGATTTTAGTCATGAGTAACATTGGTAATAAAGATGGTGACACAAAGAACTCCCGCACCCACCCACCCGCCGCCCAATCATCCACTTTACTATCAAATGTGCTAATCTCTGCATAAATAATCCAACAAGCTACACGCAGAGCTGCAGCTCCTCTTTTATTGGTACTACTATTTTATTATCGTAATTATTATTATAAGTTTATTTTATATATTTATTAAGTAGGCCTACTTGTATTATTATTTTAATTATTCATTATTGTATTTAAATTTTGAATAATTGGATATGTATATTTTATCTGTTTGACCTATTAAACTAGTGATGATATGGAAACATTTTTTCGTCATAATATATATTATTGTTATGAATATTATAACATTAAATTGTACTTTATAATGCCATTATTACCATATATCTTTTTTTATATAAATTGTTAAAGTTCAAATTACAGTATACCGATTTTATTATACATTAATTTTGAACAATAGTACTTTTATCATTGATTCTTATTAAGGTTATTTTTACTATTGTATGTGTTAAACCATATTGACTGACTTTAATTTTTTTTTATATTGTGTTTTTGGCGTCATATTCTCTAATCATATTGAGTGAAAATTTCGATTTGTTAATATTTCTTTTTGAGATAAATATCCTGGAAAAACAAACAACTATTTTGAATTTCTTGTTTTGTATATTAAAGTTAAGCACAGATTCATTTAACACGAAAACTCGCCAATTAGCAATCGCATTATGAAACTAATAATAATTCCTTTGTATAGACGTTTCAATAGGCTGGTAAGCAATTTCATAACATCATGTCTGTTTAATGAGACATGTGTCTCATTAAATTTAAAGATAACTTATTTAATTTTTTTTAAAGGAAAATGGCCATTACCCACAGTTACGATCTTTGTACGTCTTGGTATTAGTTGTGTATAAGTTAATGTTACTATGTATCTTGTTCTTTCTAACTAACATACCTTATAATTTTAATGAATTTTACCTACAAATGTAGATAATCTACTAGATAATGCTCACGTTTTCATCCACTACCCTGCACTAGACCTTACAATTATCTACTATGACCCTATAGTACAGTAAAGTACGAAGATTCCCGCCCCAACACAGTTTCAGCAAAGCTCAATACAGTGAAACAGAATACAGAAAACACTCACAATCTCATAAACTCTGTAGTTTGGTTTCGTTCGTTCTTGAGGTCTCACCACTCCGTGTTACATAGAAGATGGATCGATTGATTAACAGTGGCTTCCAGGTTTTGAAACAATCTGATGTTTTTTCCTCCAGTAATTAAAAAAATCATAAATTTACCATCATTGCCATAACAAACACCGTAATTAGCAGCATAGTAATTAGAATATTCATTATTGTCAATAACGTCATATTTATTAACATATCTTTAGCATCATCGTCGTTAGGCCTATCATCAGTTAGTGTGGCACTAGTCGAGAAGGGGAAGCTTAGAAAAAGGTCATTTACTTAATTTAATTTGCCAACCTAACTTATATTGGGATTTCAGTTCTAGAATATTGTTGTAAAGCACAATTTATTTATCTTTTTTTTTATCATTACCATATTCTAGCATTATCATTAGCATAATCATTGGTGATCGTCACCGGCATAATCGCTGTCATTTAAAATGACCATAACATCATCCACACTCGCATCGTCATCTGTTTCCTGTTTTCCCTTTACATTCTCTCATTAGATGACTATTTACTGATTTCGATACCACCTGTCGGCCAAAACAAACTTTGAAGATTTCTTTCACTCGAACAAACAATAATCATCAATACTGCTCTATTCACAATTACAATTAAACCTTTGTAATAGATCCGTATTATATTCATTAATATTATGCCTAAACATTCAGATATTCACAAAGGTTCACAAAAAAAGATGTCGCAAATGCACCAAGGCTACTGAGTCACCACTTGAAGTTTTGGCCGGCGGTGGGATGGGCGATTTCTGTACCAGTTGCCAACGATCATATACATAATACAGGGGTGGCGCCAGTAGGGGGCCAGGCCGTCGGGGAGAGCTGTGCGCCCCCATCTCTTAAGGGAGAAAAACACAATTCGTTGAGGAGAAGGAAAAATTATATGTATTTTTTACATATTAGACTCTAAAATCGATGAAATAAGCCTTTGAAACCCCTAAATTCGCTTCGCCCAATGGATTACTTCCAAGAGATTTTGAGCGACGCTTTCGATTTCGTCATGGAGTCGGCCGCGTCAGGGACATCAGACATCCTTTGGGCAAATCCTGGCGCCACCCCTGACATAAAAGTTAACAATTAACAAGGCTGATCTCATAGTTCTCCTCGATGATGCTTTAACCATTGAGTTTTATAGGCCTGGACACTGACAGAAAACATGATAGGTTTATTAGTAAAGTATTTTTATTTCGTTGTAGGGTTGTGTCTAACTGAGCTTACATATGCCCTTTTGAACCTATCGACTCGGACCGGTATACGGTATAAGGGGCTTTCATCGGTTTATTTGTTTCCCCTGACCGACTTTTCTATTTTATAATTTTGTTGAATATTGAGCAAGTAAATAAACGATTAAACCAACGAAACATGAAATTCGTTTTCGCTCAACAACAACTAGTGCTTTTCCATTAGTGCATGTGTAAAAGAGTGTGCACTTGTATCCAATCGGGATTTTTAACGAAATCCCAATGTTCCGATTGGCTAAAGCCGTTTACAATAAATATGTACGTACAGCAATATGAATTCGACTTAATCTCTTTCTGTGTAACATTTTTTATATAAAAATAATTCTTTAAATATCCTGCCTGTCTTATTTAAAACTCGTAACGAGAGCGCATCACTGATCTCTGTTTAACGTGTGCGTCGAGCGCAGCGCACTAGTGCTATACCCGCATGTAATAGACTGTGAAATCAATTGCATACAATTGGATTTCCAACAGAAGTCATATTAACCAACTTAGAAGCATCAATTTTTTTGGAGCAGTCAGTTTTCATCGATCTCAACCACATGATCTATTCCATGAGGTTCATTGTCATTGCGAATTAATGGTTCCTCGTTTCTTGGACTGCACGGGTTTATTTCTGCATAGACAATAGTGCTAGACGAAGATCGAGGAGTTGGTAGTGCATTTGCTGAAGTTTCTGACACAGTTTCTCTAGGTATTGATCTATGACCGGTCCTCTCTCTCTCACCTGTTCCTGTTCTATTAGGTGGTGCATGCAGGCCAGTATTGGTTGACTGACTACTAAAATCTAGGTCTGCATATAATGTTGATGCCGTAACTGCTTCTCTGGTAGTTTTGTTCCTTATCCTGTCTCTTTCTCTTCGTGTTTTCTTTTTCTTGTATAGTTTTTGTTGTTCACTTTCTGAGATGTTCTTGTTCGTGGGCCTATTTGTAGTTGGTTCTCCGCGCTTGCCTCTTTTGTGATGCTGACGTTGGTTTGGTGACAGTGCACGTGTTCCAGCATTTTCGGCGGGATTGTTTTTATAATTGTGACGTTTATGTTGTCTAAGTACATCCATTTGCTTTGGTTTTCTGCTTACATGCCTAGAACCGTGACTCTGTTGACTTGTGCTACTTCGCGGAGTTGCAGATCTGCTACGAGAGATGGTTGAAGTGTTTGGTAGGTTTTCTGGGCTTTGCATTAGTGTGGAGTGTCCACTATCAGTTAACGGGTGAACACTTTCGCTGGACCATCGGTGTTTAGGAATGGAAGACGGAGTTTCTCTGAGTTCACTACGAATCGCTCTTGTGATGTAGCTGCTACCATTTGAGCGGCTTGTGACAGTCGAATTTCGCTGGGAGTAAGGTCTATCAACTGTAGATATTTGTTGCCGAGAAGGAGTACTCCTATCGGCATATTGTCCGCTCTTTTCACGTTGCATTTTAAAGTAAAGATTACACATTATAAATAAAAAAATACATCCTAATGTAACACATCCTATAATTATAATCAAATACCAAACGCTAGTTAAAGATTCAACAGAAGTTATTTCTTCTTCGACTGCAAACTTAATCTTTCCAGTTGCAACTGACAATCCGATCTCATTTTCGATCTCGCAGAAGACATTAGCGCCGTTATCTGTACTAATTGTACGATATATAATTAGTTCATATGAAAAATTTGAATTTTTTCTTTGGGTAACTCGATCTGAACTTGAACCAATCATGTCGTCACCCAAGAACCAAGTGATTTTTACTTCGACTGGGTATGCATCCAGGACTGTACATGTGAATCGCAATGGTTCAGTGCTATCTTGAGGTACTCTAACAAAAATCGGCTCTAGTACTATATCTGGTCTGAATGTAACTTTTAAAGGCTGAAATGAGCATGATGTCAGGTGTTCTAAGTTTCCCTCTGACGCCAGACATATAAATTCTGCTTTGTGGTGCTCCCTTTCTAAAAACAGCCGCGTTTTGATATTTATTGTAAACTCACTTGAAGTGTATGTTGGTGAACTGACGGCTAGAGTTTCTAGGCCTGTAGCAGTTTTCCTTTTCAGCTCTACCTGTTCACCTGCTAGAGAAACTTGCTTAAATACACAAACTACATCTAATTCCATGTCAACTGAAAGTGTTCCTGTTCTGCTTAATAAACATGTTGGAAAATCACTGGCAACAATTGGAATAACACTAACTAATACACTGGCACTGTCAATAACATTTTGGGCATCGTCAAGTAATGTGCATTCATATGTCCCAGCATTATTGACATTAATATATGGTATTCTCAAAAAATATTCCCCCGATTGGTAGCCGCCAAATACTAGCCATTCTCGGGGAATGTCCCCTCTTTCAACAGCTGAAATGTCTTCAAAATTCCATGCTAAAAGGTAATTGTTCTGATTTGACACAGTACATGAACACTTTAGGTATAAGGTATCTTCTTCTGCTAGATTGATGCTGTCTGGCGAGACCTGCAGTCCGTAGTCTACGCTATGCGCTAACCCTACCCATTTCAACAGTATAACGACAAATATATAGCAGACACTATTGTAGCATCGTGGCAACAATTCTCCGAGAAAATGTATCTTCAACCGCTTGCATGGCCGACGAGAATATCTGTATTTTGGTAACATTTCATCAACCGTTTGTTCCCTATGGTTTAATTAAGTATGTTGAGGCAACCGAGCCGTGACGAATAACATCCAGGTGAGCTAAGGTAAAGCGTTGATTGTCATGGGATACGGACACACTATTGATTACCTATCAAACACAATAGCAGTGCTATGTGCAATCGAAACACGACGCCATTTTCTCAATAGTAACGGTATACAATATTTAGCAGTATCTCGTTTTTAAACTACGCAATTATGTTTATATGAAAACGATGATAGGCCTACGTAATGCAGTTTAATCACCTATTCCTAAATGAACCAATTGAAGGAGTTTTTCTTCTTTAACCTTGCAAATATCGTTGTTGATCAATTATCTGCTAACAATGAAATATATTATTAAGTGCTTAAATAAAATTGCACTTGATGTATTATGTTAAGTATTTCCGATAGGCTTAAATTATGCATAATTTATTTCGTCAAAAACCAATATGTAGAATGTTGAAATTTAAATTAATTGTTGATATAACACAGAAATTCAAGATTTCTTACCATTTCTCTTCTAATAAAATTATGACAATAACAAAAATTATCATCATAAAAATAGTTAATATGATAATAATAATATGATAATGATGATTATTACGAGTGATGATGACTTCCCATATGAATCCAGAGTTTTATGATAGGTCTGAGTGTTTTAGGAATAATAAACGCGAGCAATAAATATTTTAATAATTGTTTAACTTTGTGTTTAAGTTAGTTATTAACTGTTTTCATTAGACATAATCAGAACAATTAATATTTAAATAAACAGTGAACAGAAGCTTATCTTTCTTATTGTTCACTTCACCCATTAAATTGGCTGCCAAACAATTCAAGAATGCCCAAAACAAAACCTGGTAAATCAGAGAAATTGTTTTGATCTGTGTTACTATCTAATTTGTTTGATCCTTTTAATTAGCAAATCAGTGTTATCATTGACACTACGTAAATTTTAAAGGAACATTATGTGACAATAGCTTAGTTAATCTATGACTGGGTTGTGCATGACAAATAGGCTCATTTTAACTCAATTTGACAATAAAAGCGAAATATTCTCCACTTTCATTTTGATTATAAGTTGTTGGTACACTTTAACGGTGTGTTGAACACTGGAAAAATGTGTTTTGTAAATGCTTATATTATTATTTTATTCCAAAGAGTATACATCAACAATGAATCACACTCCTGAAAATTATTTACAGGTGACAGCACATGCGCAGACTGGTGCGTTTAAAGTTTATCCGCTGCCACACCATGGAGGAAAGCAGTTTCTGTCCTCCATGACACAACATAACGCATCATATTGTACATGTTCGCAAAAGTGCGCATGTGAAATGATGCCAATTTAAGCTCTGTTCACAATGAAGCAATAGACGCCTTTAATCGACCTCCAAATTCCGACACTCACATACACACAGTACCGGTATTGTGGGGGGGGGGGGTAATTTGGCTGTTAAACTGACTCGCTGTTTCTAACCACGGATACAAGATTTTAAATTTAGTGGGGTCTGAGAGCATATCCACCCCAGGCCCAAACATGGTTGGTGTGAACAACCCCTGAATGCCCGGAAATATGCTGACAACATGTAGAGCCGCTACCCCTCCTCCTCAAATGAAGCCACAAGATTTAAAGTTAGCATGGACATGAGTCGTCTATCTCTCTGGAAGCCCGAAAATAGTTGCTTGCAAACCTGTAGATCCTCACCACTCCCTATTCTGCTGTACATTGACAGACACGAGATTTAAAGTAAGTAGCCTAGAGACTAGAGTTCATACCGTATCGTACCCCGCTCAGCCATACTATGGAAAAATAGAGATAAAAAAATATAGTTCTGCAGTATTGCGAAAATTATAAACTGTTCAAAATTTAATTTCTATCAGTGCCAAAACTAGATGAATGAATTGCTTATTCCTCCATGAATAAATAAAATGCAAGAACACGAATAGCCATATACATTATACAATGAATAACACTTCCTGGTTTGGTCTTGCTGCACACATTAACACAACGTGCAATTAGGTATTGTGAAATATAGGCCTAAACAATATGCAATATAAAACGTGTTATATATTCAAAGGATGCAATATGCTATACATTATGAAATAGGCTTTCAAATATGAATACCATAGCTTCATCCTACTGATACAATTTTAATTACACTTGCCAAATTCGGCCTGAAGCATTAATACATTATTTATTCCACCCTTAGATGAGTTTGTACTATCACTTGAATTGTTAGGTTTTTGAATTAAGTTAAGACTTTATACAGATTACACTTTTATTTCAGTCAAATCTTGTTTTATTTTGACTAGACGATGTAAGTGTACCTCCATGGAGGACAGATCTAGGCCTACCAGGTGATAAAAACATACCCAATTAAGTACCTTCAAGGTGATTCCCACCCCTTTCAAACATGGACACCAGCATCCGATCGTCTGACGCCACGACGATGTCTTCTGACTGAAGATAGGCCTATTTGTTTTAAAAATCTAATCGAATATATTACATGTGATTGCCAATCCCTAATTTTGTGATCTAAAAGTATAATTTTGGGCCATTTGTTAAGGATTCCGGTTCACTGAACCGCTGGTGTTACGACACTGCTTCTACGCCCAGAACAGCAGCTGATAATTAAGGTTAGTGTATTCATGGCCGGTTTGATAAATTGGCTGACTCCAACCCCAAAATTTAATAAATTGTTAATTGTTATTTTATAGGCGTATTTATATTTTTTTCAAAATCAGCCTTAATTACTAAAGTTAAAGATTGTCAAAAAGATGAAGTGTACATAGACAATACAAAAACAAGCGCATGGTGGATTTTTGTTTAAATATATATAACATTAAAAAGAAAACTTTATGCAAACATTAATACTAAATTCATATAATTTATAAGTACTGTATCAATATAGTTAATCAAAAAGTAGTGGAATTGAGAAAAAGTGGTCCGACCAAAATCGGTGCAGCCGGTGTGATTCCGACAGGCATACACACACAGTTTGTGAAATAAAGGATATCATTTTTTTTAAACGCATTGTTTACGTTAAACTAGAGCATTTTATTGTATTAATGTGGTTTTTAATGGTTTGACTACTAATTTATCACTTTGAAATTAACGTTGCATAGATGACAGAAGGCATTTTTAAAATGTAAAATACTTATAAAAAAAAATATGTAACAAAAATCTCGGCAGCCCGTATAATGTAGGTTGTTCCGCTTACTGTACGTGTTTTCGGAAGTTTTCCGAGTTGTAACTTGGCAAACGCGGAGAGATCCTTTAGGACAACTACAGACAATTCAAACGACTCGGAGAGGTGACTACGAGTTTGCTAAGTTGAATGTTTTGTACAAATTTTTTCTTGGAAATGATACGATTTACCTATGTGACTACTAATTTTCCGAGATACCTATGAGTTAGATACGAGTCTACGAGTTGGATATGAGTTAATTAATCTTACTACGAGTTTTCAATTTTGTACTTAGCTCGGGATACCCTTATCTAACTGGTACTTTTTTTCTGGTTTGTGGTACCTAACACGTTTGCAAACTGTTGAAGCTCAGTAACAAATCAACAGAAACGTTTAAAACTTGTTGTAAACTCGTACCAGACAATGTTACATAATAATAATGATATGTTATGCTTTTATATAACGCTCCATACAACTAAGTCTCAAAGCTCTTTTTCACATTATTACGCTAATCATTGTACTCCTCAGGTAGCTATTTATACTCCTGGGTGGAAAGAAACAATGCAGGTAAAGTGCCTTGCTTAAGGACACGTGCGAAATGCACAGCGAGCGATTGAAACCCCGACCTCGAGTTTGGGAAACCAATTGTTCTCGCTTCGCCAAACCACTTATACTTCGCTCTGAATGATTTGTACTTAACTCATGATGGCATGTGTCTCACTCGAAGTAAACTCTTAAATAACAAGAAGAACTCGTAGCTAACTCTGTTATTGGAATCCGATACAAAAGTAACTTCTTTCGATTAACGAGTTCCCTAAGTTTTTAGCTCGTAGCAATCCGTACGATACCGGGACGGAAACAACCTAGGTGTGAGAGCTGCTATACATAACAGGTTGTCGCTTTAAATTCCTGACTTATAGAAACATATTGCTAGACTTGGAAGATGTGAAGTAGTTAATCGAGGAAAGGAATTTGATATCTGAACCATATTATTTTACTGCCGAATTCCTCATGAACATCCGAAAATCGTTTTTTTTTTTTATTTTGCAAACGTCAAAATTGTGTTAATTCGTCCTGTTTGTTTTCCACACCTTTTGCAACATTGTCATTTGCAACATTCACATTGAGAGTTCCTTCTTGTTTAACACTTTTTACGTTAAGCTGGTTGTATAAGCTTCCTATGGCTTTTTGGTGCTTTTTGAGGTAGATACCATGAGGGCGAATTTTTCCTGAATTCGAAGCCTTAGTAGAAATCGGCACGAATCCTGCATTGTTCCACAGGGCACGTGTGGATTCGTGATGCGCACGGGTTGGTTTGGCATTGCGTGATTTATAGCGTGTAGACTGGTGATCTATTGCGACTGACCACTCAATGTTAGTTTCTGATGGTACGCTTTCATCTACCTCTTCGAATGTAATATCTTTAACTGTCCACTTAGCTAAGGTCTTTGATGTAGGCCTACGCTTGTTTCCCGTTTGTTGGATGTCTAAACTAGGTTGCTTGTTGCTTTGCTCCTCTAGTTTAGTCTCTACGTCAGTGTTTTTAACCTTCAGATACCCTGGATAAGTCCGTAATTGTTTATTTTTTAACTTACTATTTTCTTCAATGTGAAGATCTGTTGGTTTTGGGTCCATTCAGACGACTCGGAGAGGTGACTACGAGTTTGCTAAGTTGAATGTTTTGTACAAGTTTTTCTTGGAAATGATACGATTTACCTATGTGACTACTAATTTTCCGAGATACCTATGAGTTAGATACGAGTTTACGAGTTGGATATGAGTTAATTAATCTTACTACGAGTTTTCCATTTTGTACTTAGCTAACTTATCTAACTGGTACTTAACATGTTTTTCTGGTTTGTGGTACCTAACACGTTTGCAAACTTTTGAAGCTCAGTAACAAATCAACAGAAACGTTTAAACCTTGTTGTAAACTCGTACCAGACAATGTTACTTAATAATAATGATATGTTATGCTTTTATATAACGCTCCATACAACTAAGTCTCAAAGCTCTTTTTCACATTATTACGCTAGTCATTGTACTCCTCAGGTAGCTATTTATACTCCTGGGTGGAAAGAAACAATGCAGGTAAGGTGCCTTGCTTAAGGACACGAGCGAAATGCACAGCGAGCGATTGAAACCCCGACCTCGAGTTTGGGAAACCAATTGTTCTCGCTTCGCCAAACCACTTATACTTCGCTCTGATTGATTTGTACTTAACTCATGATGGCATGTGTCTCA